AAGGGGAAAGTAAGTATTTTATAGAGAAATATCAACATATGAACAAAGGAACTCACCATGGTTTTTAGCTTCCCACCGACCCTTGGCCAAATCGCGCCAACAACGTTAAGCATGTGAAGAAGTGGAGGCCAGTTGTCGAACCCAACATGCAAGGTCCGGAATCGCACCAAGAAACCAAGGAACGCTGTACCATCAAAAAGAAATTAGATCAAAGAAGAATAGAGAAAGCAGAGTAGTAAGCATCATCGATGAAGTTGTACTTTCGTTTCATGTTCCATTAGAGGGGAAGAAAGACTATAGAAAGACTAAGTGAAGTACTTATAGGGACTTCTTTAACATTCTTCTTTCCTCTTCTTGATTATCACCTTCTTTCCCTTTCCTCGCATCCTAATATAATAAAGATCAAGACGAGTTACTCCAGGTCCAGATATCTCCCTTCGAGATTGCCAACATCAGTCTAAGTAGCTTAAGTTTTTGAAGAAAAAGGTAGAGAAGGAAGGGTGGTTCCTCGGCAAATGGCATCCATTCGGCAGGAATTATGTCAGAGGTCTTGATTCGGACAAACTAGCCCATTCATCCTCGGTCTTTGTCCTCATTGATGCTAGAGAACAGCACCTTCGAGGATCAACGCTGGAGCTTTATCAACCCACCTCGATAGAGGTGAGGGCTATATAGCCTGATCAAATGGTCGAGGGTAAAAGACATCCCCTTGACCTTGCTCGAAAAGTACTTGAGAAAAATGACGATACACCAGAAAAAGGGTAGATCTGGACAAAGGTCACCCGGTATTGAAGACAAAAATCGAGTATGACTGGGTCTACAGGACCTAGTGTGAAAGGATAAGTTTACGCACTTAAAATACCTTCGACATGGGTAGTGATGTCCTCCAAATGATAAGGAATCACCACCTCCTTATACTCCAAACTACAATCCTTTTTTACTTGCTCGAGATCGTCTTTAGATATCGAGCAAATATATCGAGACATGGGCTCGCATCGGCCTAGAACTGATGCAGGCCTATCGACTTTGAAATTAGAAGATAGCTCATATGGCCCAAGAATGCACATCTCGATACGAGGTACCACCGTCGTTCTACCACCGGTCAACCGCGATAATGAGGAGACTTTTTCTTTCTGAGGAACAGTTTTAGATGTTTTAGCCATCACTGTTGTGACACTCAAGAGAAGAGAAGAAGTTGATGTTGTAACAAGCACAAATTGAAGAGAAGGATAGACTTAAAGAAGACGAAGAAGCTAGTAAAGATTTGGGAAATGTTTGAGTTGTAAAGATTGCAAAGATTGTGAAATTGACCTATTTATAGTGGCCATTTCAATAGTTTGGGGTAGCCACTAGCCGACCATCAGCCGCCTTCAATTAATGACCTTGGGAACTATGCGGACGCGACCCTTCAATCGCTTATGTCGCAGTCATGGGATTGACGTCATAATCGAGGCATCGGAGGATCGAGGATCATATCGTTTCTTATCGTCTTACTCTAAGAAATGCGGGGACTATCTGTATACGGTCAAAATTAGATATGCCCGATTTCGTAGGCTCGAAGAGTCCCTTCGAGCCTAAGTTCAAAATGGACTGGGCTCGAGCCCGATTACAGATTATAATACTTGGAGATCGAAGTGCTCGATAAACACCGAGGTCGGGTATGACCAACCTCGAGATAATACTGTTGTGGTTATATAACAGAAAGAGCAAGATTCCCGCAACGGCCCTAAGATCACGGCGTAAATTCCGGAACGGATTTGTACTAAGCGGTTAGATAGCTGTCCAATAAGATTCCCTACTAAAAATGAAAATGTACTTTATTTAGGACTCCCCTATTATGTAAAGGGGAGCCCATTCATTTGTAACACATCAATTATTTACAAGAGAATATACATACATCACTTTCTTGCTTACTTTTCATCTGAATTGCCTAATTATTTTGTTATTCTGACTAACCTACCTCGAGGCCGTCACAGCTCGAGGTTGAGGCTTGCTTGCACACTGGTTTGACTTACTTTACTCTTTAATTTATACATTTGATTCCTTGTTTATCAATTAGTATTGGATTAAATCACATATTTTTAAAACCACAATACACGTTAATTGTTACTCGAATTTTAGGGTAAACACATAGAGAAGATCTAACACCATAATATCTATATTCATTTGACTTAGATTTTTTGAATTAAAAAATTTATCTTTTGATGTGACCATTGGCCTCCTCTGGTTCAGTAATATGGCCTACCAAAGTTAATTTATTGTAAAGAAAAATATTAAAATCGCATTTTATCAAATCAATTTATTATAATGTAAAAACAAAAAGAGAGATTCTTTCAAGTTTTTGGCTGAAATCCCACTTGATAATGAGATTAAAAACAAAGTACAGATATATAATTTAGGTTTAATCATAGCGTGCTACTATACTTATTAGATTAGTTAACAATCATCTTCGAACTGTGACATGTTCTAGTTGTACCATGGCCTGTTAGATTAAGTGACACGTTGTTAGGTGAATGAGATGCTAGTTCGATACGCCTTAACAACTCTGTTATTTTCTAACTTATAAAACTATTACTTACATTTCGTTCCATCTCTACCTTATTAACTGGTCAATCATCCTTGAAAATTAAAAACAATGGTGATGCTAATATCAAATTTTTCCACATAACTGCTACAAATAGAAGAAGAATCAATGAGTAGTTTTCTTCAAGGATGATATAGGAAATTGAATAGATGATCACCAAAGTATAATGTCTCATACTATAAACTACTTCAAGGACCTCTTTACCACCTCTCATTCTCATTCAAACTGGCATACTAACATAAAGGAGTCCCCTATAGCCACTAATAATGTTCTGTCAAGCCTAGACCTACCCCTTAATAATCAAGAAATTAGGAAGGCAATATTCTCTTTCAAAACCTATAAATCACCCGGTCTGGATGGCCGGTACCCTTTTCTCTATCAAAAATATTGGAATATTATAAAAGATAGTGTCAATGCCTTCTGTCACAAAATATTCAAAGATTTCCACATCCCTACAACCATTAATAATAATTACTTGTGCCTAATTCCAAAGTTTGAAAATGCCAATAACTTAAAAAAATTTAGGCTTAGCCTTTGTAACACCATCTATAAAATTATTACCAAAATCATTGCAAATAGATTAAGACCTTTTCTAAACAATCTATTTGGTCCTCATCAAGCAAGTTTTATTAAGGGAAGACGTGCTTGTGATAATGCTTTAATTATTCAGGAATTAGTTAATTACATTAGGAAATCAAAACCAAAAGAAGGCAACATGATCCTCAAAATAGACCTTAAAAAGGCTTTTGCTAAACTTGAGTGGTCCTTTATTCATAGAACTTTAAATTACTTCAAATTCTCTCCAAAAATCACCAACCTAATTATGACTTGCATTGCCACTCCTAGTTATTCTGTCCTAGTGAATGGTTCCAAATCAGACCTCTTCACCCCAACAAGAGGGATCAGACAAGGTGATCCAATGTCCCCCTACATCTTCATTTTATTTATGGAGATGCTTTCAATTATGATCAATCACAAAATTAATATCAGGAAATGAGATGCTTTAAAGATTAATCATAGATGTCCTACCTTACCACACCTATTTTTTGCTGATGACATAACCCTCATAGGTAAAGCTAATACTAAAATAGCTCTCACAGTGATCCAAAGCCTCAATAACTTTTGCCTTCTTTTGGGACAATCTATTAACAAAACAAAGTCTAAATTGTTGTATCTCCCAATTACTTAAAAACAGCTAGAAGGAATTGTTCTCCATCCTCAACATAAAGCTTAGTGATAAATTTGGTGTCTACTTAGGCTTTCCAATAATTAACACAAAACCTAGTCACAAAGACTATCAATTTGTGATTGATAGAATGAGAATGAAGTTGGGAAGCTGGAAAGCCAGATGGCTAAATATGGCAGTAGATGCACTCTAGTCACTTCCACTCTTAACAACATTCCAAATCATATCATGCAATACTCCCATCTCCCTACAAAAACAATCAAGGACATTGATAAGATTCAAAGAAATTTCTTATGGAATTCTACTCCTGACAAAAGAAAACTTCACCTTCTGAGTTGGGACACAATTACGAAGGATAAACAAATAGGGGGACTAGGAATTAGGAAAGCTAGAAGCAAAAACTCAACCTTGCTTACCAGTCTAGCTTGGAGATTAATAAATACTACATCCATATAGACCCATGTTTTAATCAGTAAATATGCTAACACTAGAAATAAAAACCACCACTCCTTTATTTGGAAAAGTATATTGAAGGGTTAGTACTATTGCAACAAAGGAACTAGATGGGACATAAGCAATACCAACCAAAACATTTGGGAATTAAACTGGATTCCTAATATAAATAAATTAAGAGCTTCTATCCATGACACCCTAAATCTCAATGAAGATAAGCTCACCATTGGTAATTTAGTGTCGGGAAAAAATTGGGACCTCACTAAGTTATCCTTTGAGTTGTCAAATAGCATCTCACAGAACATAAATGCTATTATGTATTATAATACTCATAGAACTAATTCTCGCCATAATATATGGAGTCTCAACTCAAACGGATATTTCTCTACCTCTCCGTGCTATAAGCTTATCGACCAATATGATCCCTGTGACAAAGATTACACCTGGCTGTGGAATCTTCATTGTCCAAACAAAATAAAAATATTCATCTGGAAATGCTATCATAATAGAATCCCAACAAGATCCTATCTAGCACATATAGGGATAAACATCAACCCTAAATGTCCCACATGCAAATTACATGATGAAAATATTCATCACATCTTTTGGGGTTGTTCCACTATTAAACACATCTGGACTGACCTTGGAATACACATCAATTCCACCCTAAAAGACCACTGCATAGATCAAATAAGACAAGCAAAGCATACTTTCCTGCACACACACCTTAAATGGCAGGACATTTACCCCTTTGCAATTTGGCTAATCTGTAAATACATGAACAACAACAACCATAATAATACAAACTACAACCTAAATTGGAACACTGTTATAAAGCATGTTGTCCAATATATCCTTCTTACAAAGAAAGGTATCAATGGTTCAGTACAGAAACAGATACAAATACAATGGCATAAACCACCTAAAGGTTGGTACAAATTTAATATTGATGGTGCTTTCCCTGGAAGTAATTGCAAAGGTGGTATAGGTGGAGTAGCAAGAAACAACACAGGAAGCTGGATACTAGGTTTTCATATGAAGGTCCCAACATTATCAGCAACTCAAGTGGAGCTCCAAGCCTTGAGAGAATGCCTGCAAGTTATAATGCAGCGCAATTTAATGTTGGTGGAGATTGAGACAGATGCATCAGAGAATATCAATATGATAGACAATGACCACCCTACTTACACAAAACTAATCTATGAATGTAGGTGGTTGATGCAACAAATAAGGAGGACGGGCAAGGTGGTACTCAGGCATAGCTTCAGACAAGGGAACAGGGTGGAACATGCCTTGGCAAAAATGGCATTGATGCAGACCAACATAAATAAAAGCTCTCTTTTGGCAACTCCATCAGAACCAGCGATACAAAAATATTAACAGGATCTGGAGGGTCTTTCTTCTGTTAAATATGTTTGTACTAGTGTTTGTTTGAAGTTGGCTGCTTTAGGTAACTTAGATGCCTTGCAAGACACAAACGCTATCTTTTAATATGTTGAATGCTTATTATTAATATTATGTCTTTTTCTTTAAAAAAAACTGATCAATTCAAAAAACGAAAAAAATTAGATATTAAAGTGTGTGATCATCTCATTTAAATGTTTAAACTATAAGAAGTGTATATTTTTATTACTTAAATATATTATGTCTCATAATATGATCCTGGCACATCTCAGTTTGATTCTTTTTCATAAATCAAACACGCAAGTTTCTTTTTTCTTTTTTGCTTTTTTAGCGGATGTGAGATTTAAAGCGATAATCTCTATCTGATTGACCTACTATCAATTGAATGATCATCTCATCTAAAAAAATAAACTTTTAAAAGAAAAAAAATCGCACACTTTTAACATTTGGAAGCCTGATTTTCCAAAAGTGCAGGGTATTTTTATTGGTAAAAGTTATTTCCTACTGAAGAGCAGCTCCAAATATTTCAAGAAAAGAAAATAGAAAGAAAGCAATAAAAAAGAAGAAAAAGAGAAGATGACTTCTATTAGAAAAAAAGGATGGAAGACAGTTTCATCTCCTTGACGAGATGAATGGGTAACCTATAAATAAATAGAAGATAATGAGAAGCATCTTTAGGCTAGCAAAATTAAGAGGTAGTTTGATTTGATGTATAAAAAGAAATAATTATGGTATATAAGTGTAACGACCCGACTGGTCGTTTTGAGTATTTCCATCCCGTCCAGCTATTTGAAGTCTTGAGTAGCATCATTCTATGTATTATGACTTATATGAATCGTCTGTTTTAGTTTTCAGGTTATTCGGAATTGATTTGGAAGAATGGTTCTCCACTATGAAGCTTAGATTGGAAGAGTTGACCAAGTTTGACTTTGTAGTATTTCACCTCGGATTAGAGTTTTAATTGTTCTATTAGGTCCAGATGGTGATTCGACTCGGGCGTATGCCCGAATTTGAATTTAGATGTTTCTAGAAGGTTCCAGTGCTAACTGGCAAAAGTTAAAAATTTGAAGGTTTGGAAAGTTGATAAGTTTCATAAAGAGTTGACTTTGATTATATCGTATTTAGATTTTGTGGTTCTGAGAATAGGAATAGCTTCCTTATGTCAGTTGGATCTTGTGTGCAAAATTTGGGTTCATTTCGGGTTGGTTTACTATGTTTCGGCACGAGTTATAGAGGTTGAAAGTTCAAAGTTTATCAAGTTTGAATTGAGGTGCGATTCATTATTTCGATATTGTTATGTGTGATTTGAGGCCTCGAGTAGGTCTGTGTTGTGTTTTGGGACTTGTTGGTATGCTCGGACGGGGTCCCGAGGGGCGCGAGCATGTTTCGGATTGATTTCCGACTATTTTTCCTTCATTTTTCATTGTTGGTTCTGCAGAATTCTGGGCTTCTGGTTTCCTTAATTATGATAGTGCATAAGGGATCACGATCACGTAGTGTTGGTTTCTGGCTAGGAAGAAGTTGTTCTTCGTGTTCGCGAGTCCTCAGACGCATTCGCGTAGCTTGCGGCAGATTGTGCATCGCGTTCGCGCTAGAATCCACGTGTTCGCTATAGTGTATTTTGGGTTGAGCTGGGCAGAGGTTATTTCTCTTCGCGTTCGAGATGTTGTTATGCGATCACGTAGCTTTGAGAGCCTTGTCAACGCATTCATGAGGCAATTTCTGCGGTCGCATAATGTATTTTGGGGAGGCTGCTGTGTTTGTTCTTCGTGATAGCAGAGCCTTGTCCGCATTCACATAGAGTATCTTGTTGGCAGTGTGATTTTGTTCATCGCAAACGCAATGGATTTCCCGCTTTTGCGTATGAGGAATGCCTAGGCAGATTAGAAAGTACTCTATTTCAAGGGTTTAGGCCAATTTTATATTTTGGGAGCTATGAAGCTCGGATTGAGATGATCCTTCAAAAAGATTTCACCATATGAATTGGGGTAAGTGTTCTCTACTCGGTTTTGGTTATATTTCGTGAATCTATCTTCGTTTTTGGTAATTCAATGGTAAATTTTAAAGAGGAAATTGGGCGTTTTAGCCTAAAGTTTCATAAAGTGAATTTTTGAGTTTTGAACATCGATTTGGAGTCGGATTTGAGTGAAACTAGTATGGCTGGACTCATAATTGAATGTATTATAGGATTTTGTAAGTTTTGTCGGATTTTAAGGCGTGGACCCGAGTATGACTTTTGTCCTGTTTTGGTTTTTTAACAAGGATTCAAACTTTATCATTTGGAATTGTTTCCTTGGGATTTAATTAATGTATTTGAGATGCTTTTGGCTAGTTTTGAGTCGTTTGGAGGTCGGTACGCGTGAGATGGCATTTTTGGAGCATCGCTTGGCTTTCTCGGTATTAGAATTTTCTTGTTCGAGGTAATTAACACTTCTATACTTAGTGTTGAGGGTATGAAACTCCGAATTACGTGTTATGTGACTAGTGTTGAGGTGTCGCACATGCTAGGTGACAGACGTATGGACGTGCAACATGTAAGTTGTGACTCCGTTATTTCTGTTGTACTGTAATAGTTACCTAATCTTACTTGTAACCATGACATTCCTATGTACTTGAGATATTGAGTTGTGATACATGTTAGAAACCATGCCTGGGCTACATGCTTATCTTGTTGGGACCCACTGAGGTTATTTTTGTTGTTGAGCTATCTACTTTGATTGCTTTACATACTCAGTCATACGCATTCGTATGTGTATCATATCTCAGTCTCTGTTATCATTTATTGATACATCATATCATTATTTTGGGAAAGTTTCATGGCATTGTGAGCTTGAGAGACTGTAGGGTTTGATAACTGAGTGATACCAAGGGCATGAGTGAGAGTAATATTATAGGATCGGGTTGCACGCCGCAACATGTTATATTGATTACATTTTATGGGATCGGGCTGCACGTCACTGTCATATAGCGCTTGGACTGAAGGAGCCCCTTTGGAGTCTGCACACACCCCCGTAGTTAATTCTATATATGAATATGGATCGGGTCGCACACTCCAACGAGCCTTATGGATACATATATATGGATCGGGTTGCACGCCTCAATGATCCTTATGGCTATATATGTATATGGTTCAAGTCTTGTGGCTATATATATGTGGATCGGGTTGCACGCCACAACGAGTATTGTACAGTGCTGAGTGATTGAGTGTGTTGAGTGTTAAGCATGGTAATAAAGAATGCGAGAGAGTGAGACTGAATACTCTGAGAGTGTGAGTACATGAGTTCATCACTGAGAGGCATTGCATTTGACATTCGTACTTGAGATACATGCATCGAGATGCATTTTCCTTCTGCTACCTAGTTTTTGTAAAATTTATGATTTTACCTGTATCTTGACATGTAGGCATAGAGATGTACTTTCCTCACGCTATCCGAAAATGAAACATCATAATTATTGTTGAAAGGATTTTTTTGGAAAAACATAGTGTTCAAAGTTACTCATATGTTCAGCGATTTTGGTAAAGGAGTTGGGTTTCACTGATATACTTGAAAGGCGGGACTACTTTTAGGAAACTATGAATAAGTTGAGCATCTGACTCTGAGTTACTTATTTTATTACTTGCTTTACGTTGTTATGGACTGTTGTTGGCTATTGGTGTTGGACCTGACCTTTGTTCCAGCTCATTACTACTTTTAACCTTAGGTTAGGTTTGTTACTTAATTGAGTACATAGGGTAGGTTTTACTCATACCACACTTCTGCACCTTGCGTGCACATGTTGGATGATGTTGTTGCTGTGATCGATAGGAGCTGTATCTAAAGATGTACCTGCATTAGAATTATCTCTCCCACATGAGCGTTCAATATCAGCTCTACATTGCCAACTTGTGATTTTCATGGATGACGTGCGAGATGTGATTTCTATGTATTGATTATGAGCTAATCTGGAGGACTTGAGGCTGGGTTATGACTGAAGCTGGAGCACGGAGATTTCGGTTGTGTGAGCACGTCCTCTTGGACTTATAAGTCCGGTAGTGTCCCTCTTAGTGGAATTGGTGACTAGATGAGTGGTTGGATGGCTATATGACGAGTATGATGTGGCTGCGGGATGTGTTCAGATAGATCGAACGTGACGAGAAGAGTTTGCTTGTGATGTAAAAAGGGCTATTGGGAGCTTGATTTCTATCTTGATTTGACGTACATTCTTAGGAAGGATCTTTCATGATGGTTAATTGTGGCCCGAATTAGATTCTCATGTCTTGTTGATGAGTTCAGAATTAGGCTGATTATGTGATACGTAGTAGTTGTGACTGTGGAAGGGTATAGAGAGATGTTAGTTTGAGGCAAAGCAGGTGGGTTATCTTTTGAGGGGTTTCCTGAGGTTGTTTGATCTCTATGTTGTTTTGTAGAGATTCTCTTTTACCAGTGAAATATTTGTTGCAATTTTAGTTTGGATCACTTGTAAAGTTGGCTTGACTATTACAAGGGTGAATGCGAGATTTGCAGATAATTTGTAGCATTAGATGGGTTGTGTTACATGATCTTATGAAGGATTTAGTTGAATCTAACTGCAGTATTATGGCAGTAATGGGGTATGGTTATTGTAAGTTATCATATGATTTATTCCATGGCATTAAGACAAGTTAGGGAGTCTGCTATTGACGAGTTGATTGCACGGTTATGTGTTGTATTGGTTTCGATTTAAGGTATACTTGTGAATTAGTTATGACTTGCAGAGGTTAAGTTCGAGGATGACTCGAGTAAGGGAATTTCTGGATACGGGTTGTATTACACTTTTTGGGTATATGTGAATCATGGGATGATTGAGTGGTTATTGATGAAGGATGTAGTGTGCATAGAGTAGGAATTTGCTTGGTTGAGTTAATATGGGGTTACTTCTTTGGGGTATTGTCATGCTAATGGGTCATCGGTCGTTCGGCCCGTTTGGGAGGTGCAATTGAGACATGAACAAAGAGG